GAAAAAATAGGTTTTATGACAGCTGCCATCAAAGGTGCAGACAGTTAATAGCTTTAGCGTGGCTACGCAGGCATGATACTACATGGTACCTGGGATTTACCTCTCACATAGTGATGGCTTGCTTAATCCCTCACCTACCCAGTTTGCCCTGCTTTTGGTGAACACCAATTTGCCTGTCTCCTGCTTACCATGGGATAAAAGAAATGAGGAAAAACTCCAGCTGAGCCCACCTACAGTATCTGCCAGGTAGCTCTACCCTTAGAATAAGAGTGGTTGTCCTCACCTGTGGAAAGTGATTTATACTGAGGACATAAATGGAGGAACAATGCACAGCTGGAGGGAAATACTTAAATAGTGGTTCTGGCTGAAAAATGAGGATGTACAAATGACACCATGTGTCTAGCAGAGCCTTTCCTAGTGTGCCAGCCCTCCTATTTGGGGACTACAGTATCAGAACAAGGTTTTGCTGTCTTGTGCACCTAAAACCAGCAGAGCGTGGAGGTAGAGTCTGTGCCTTCTTGGTACAGTAGTTGTTTTACTGAAATGCATGTATCTATCTAAACAGTTTGCCCATCAGAGCAGCAAGGCTGTGTAACAGTGGAGTAATAGTAGCGGGAAAACTCAGCCAGTGTCGGGAAGGCAGAGTATGATCTGGGATTTTCAGTGGTGGGTCTGGACTCGATGACGCAGGAAGCTTCCTCAAGCCATGCATCCCCATCCTGGGATTGCAGAGGTGCCTCTGAGACAGTAATCCAGATCCAGCTATGCCACAAAATCTGAGTCCCCCAGCAGACAGGTCCCAGTTCTACTGTCCAAGAGTTTTCAGGACTGGTTATTTGGGAAGCCTTTTTCTGTCAGAGTTCCATCTCCAGTCATTCAGCAATAGCACTTTAAATTAAGTCTTTGCCTTAAACCAAAACAGCTTTCCAACAATAGACGAGGGAAAAGTAGGGACCACTACAGAATCTGAAAACTTTGGTTCCTTAGTTGTATTCCTTGATGGGTTTACAGCTCTCAGAAAGACAACAGGTTTATTGCAGTCAGCCACTTTCAGTTTTACCATTGTACTTTGAAGTCAGTGACAAAATTCCCAATCATTTTTTTTTGGACCAGGTTTCTACTTAGTGTTCAGAAATTAACAAAAACAATTACCAAACAAGAAGGGGAAGCTGACATCTGGCTTTATTGGGGATTATTCCTTTGGGAGGATTAGAGTAAGAGAGACAAATGGTTGTGCCACTTACCTTCTTCTCCCGGCAGAAGCAGAAACCTGAGCTGAAGCGGTAGCTGTGGTGCATTAAATAAAACTGCTTGTGGATCCTGCTCTTGAAGGCTGGCAGTCTGGTTTGTGGTGTGGCAGAGGTTCGTGCAGCCCTAGGACTGTGTAGCTGCATGTTGGTTCCAGAACAGCATTTGCACCCCTTCCCCACGTCACTGGCTGAGCCGGCCTGGCTGCTCTCTGGCAGGATTGCAATGCTGGAACAGCACCAGGGAACATCATCAGGGATCAGGATAGGATCCATTTTATTTCCCTACACTTTTTGTACCTTTTCTATGAATACTTCTCAGATGTCAGGACCAGATACATTCACACTCCGTTGGATTTTGCTATTTTACTCCAACAGGGTACAGATGGTTGGTAAAAATCCTTTTAGACTGACTAGGACCTTTCACTTTAGGTCCATATTTTTAAATATGTGATTAAACCAACACAGATTTTTTTTTTTTTCTTCCTAAAATACTACCCGAAGAGCCACTTTAGCTGAAGCTACATTTAATGGTGAGATTCATTTACACATCACATCAGTACACAGTGTGAGTGAGGCAACTAGGATCTGGGCCATAGTCATTTGGAATCAGAGTTTACAGTGCCTCTGATCTCACTACAAAATACTCAGTTAAAAATAGCCCAGTTGACATTGTAAGACCTATAAAGGCCCTGATCTAGCAAAGCACTTACATCTCTGCTTCACTGAGAAGTTCTGATGAGTCCTATTTAAGACTATAAATTTTCCACTAACTTCAAAGAAAGTCCTAAGCCAAAGTTATTCTTTGTACTAGGGCCAAAACTGTTAAAGGTAAAAGTAGAAGGTAGTGGATTTCAAATTTGTGAAGAATTTAAAGGCTTTTAACTTCTGCCATGTTAAAGAATTTATGTGAATTAATTCCTGAATTTATTATAAAGAAATTCAATTAATAATGGATCTGCTTTTCATTATGATGAGTAATCAAGGATAAACATCTTCTATATCAAAGCTTATCTGTTAAAAAGGATAAATTAGCTATAATGCACTTAACTACTTCCAGAACATGAAATGAACACATATTGTTCCATTAGTTAATTTTGGATCACTAAATTAAAGACAGTTCAAAAGGAGTGTAATCTCATAAGGATCTCTCTTTGTTCAGTCTGTTGTGACTTATTTCATGAGGTACAACAAATACTGTTTCTTGTGGGGGTAAATACTATTAGCACTATAAAATGGTTTTGTTTTAGTATATTTTACGCATCAGTATGAGTTATATACCACAAGGGTAAGAATATTTTTATCTGGTATTTGCAGATGCAGTTTTGTACTCCTGCATATCTTGTAGGCTATTGGGGTGCTTGATTAAGACTACCCAAAGCTCTGCAATAAAACAAATTCAATAAATAAATAATAAAACAGCATCTGGAATGTAGCCTTTTATCCATGAAAACATGATCTGAATGTACTAGTAAATTAATCCAGGCCAGGGCATAGGCCTGTCAGCATCTCTCCTGTTGAATTAGCAAGCATGCCTCCTGGCATGGTTTTGGCCAGCTAGCACCCTCCAAGCAATGCCTGGACATATCTGGGGTTAGGATTGGCCATCATCCATTCCCAAAGGCAGCTGTGATTTGGCCATCCTGTCCATGGGGATAAATGAGAGTTTAGCCATATTGGTGCAGCATGCCACACAAGTTGTCCCCGAAACCAGAGAATAGCCTTGACCTGCTTTATGTAGTAGTCTAGATGTAGTTCTGAGGTATAGAAAACAAAATAGGGTTTAAAAACATAGAATGAGATTCTACCTACTGCTTAATGTAGTCCTTGTTTACTCAGGCACTTAGGGCTTTTTTGCGGCATATAGCATAACCTCCTAAATTTAATTTACAGTGCAAAAGTACAGTGGGTAACTATGCAAATAACTTCAGTGACTGCAAAGCAAACTTCTTAGCATTTTCAGTGGGTGTCTCCAAGGCTTCTCTGTTCTCAAAGAAACAGCACCAGCAGAAAAGTACCTTTTCCTTAAGCATCTTTGGTTCAGGTTGGGGCTTCTGTGGTCACATGTAGTGTCAAAAAGTGTCAGCCTCTTAAAGAAAGAGGAACTTTACTAAGTTAGCAGAGGTAGCATGTTTAAAAGAAAAATCATAAGGCAGAACATTGCTGGGAACATTGCTGGGACACTTTCATGGAAACTCAGATACTTGGGCAGTTGTGTCACAGAAGGAGAGACCTCCAGACTGTCGCATCATTACTTTAAGGGCCCAATTCTGTCTCTCTGGCTGATGCTGATAGTGTTTTCCCTCTCTGACACCATGAAAATCAGTGGGATTTTCCTCAAAGCCTCTAACTGTGAATTAGAGATAATTGTATTGAACTGGGACCACAGGACAAGGCTGAAAGCAAGGTCAAGATGAGAGGGACCACACTGGGAACGCAGTTCTGTATGGATATTGTCTTCCTAGCAGGAGGAAAGCTCGCTGCCTTTCCCTGTAGTGCCTGAGTATCTGCAGTGAGAGGCTGACCATGGACGGATGGATAGAAAGATTGCATGTGGACAATTATATGAAGAAAATGAGCTTCATTTGGTACCTCCTTGCTCCTTGCATTATCTGTTTTGTATCAAAATGAAGGTGGGTTACACCATGTAATTCAGCTACAGCATATCAGCTTTGTACAACTCCCCATCACCAAGCCTTCTCCTACGCTTCCAGACTGTACCTGGGGACTGCCTACGTCAGTTTAAGGAAAAGCAGCTTAGCATACCCTGGTCTGCTTGTCCTGTGCTACTCTGACCTTTGCCAACACCTGAGCTTCCAGGTTCCAACACAAAGTGGCTAGAGGCAAAGCTTTTTCGAAGATGGGTTGTCTTCCTCGTTAGTGTTGACTGCCTTTAGATAGTCCCCTCGTGTTTGTTGAGCTGCCAGGGCTGCCCGTTCCCTTGGGATTTTGCTTGTAGGTGTCAGAAGCTGTAACACTTCACTGAAATGGGCCTGCCATTGAGATCCCTGTGGCAGCATTAGAGTGAGATGCATTTTGATCTTTGAAAACATTTGATTAATTTCATAAATATATAGCAAGAAAGCAGGTCTGGCAGATTTTCTCATTCTGAGTACCTCTGGCAAGGCAGTGTGGAGTAAGTGGCTAATGGTAGTGGATTCGTCATCCTTTGTGGTGTTGAGCAGCCTTGCTCTAGGCTGGGGAGCTGAAGTCTTGAGAGGGATTTTTCGTTCCTTGACTAGCTTTTATCCACAAGACAAATTTGGATTACAATACGTCTGTTCCATATAAAGTACATTTTTGATTGTGCCATTCCTCAGTTAAACAACTCATGGTGGGGAAGGGTCAGTTTTAATTCATTGATGGGTAGGATTTCTCCTAATCCCTGCATTTCGGAAAACTGAGATATAAAGATAGTTGTTAGCTAATGCTGTAAGAATTGCAGCTTAATGCTAAGGAATAATAAATAACTTGTAAGAACTAGATTGTCTCAGGCACACATTAAATCACATTATCTGCTAGTAAATTAGTCTTGCTTTTTTTTTTTTTTTTTCTTCCTTTCTTGCAGTTCCAAAGGATACAATCTTACATTGTCCTGGGCTTGAGCAGTAAAGGAGAAATTTGATGACTGGCTGACTTGTCATATCTTCGTTGTGATGGAAAAATGGTTGCCTAAATTAAACCCTTTGTTATGCTGCTAAAGCTGACTTTGAATCCAAGATCTGTTGTGATTTTTAAAACACAAACCCAAAAATGTCAGAACCTGACCCTTCATCTGGATTTGTAGGAAACATGGAAAATGGGACTTTTCTGGAGCTGTATCCTACATCTCTTTCAACTTCAGTGGATTCATCACCTGGCCGCTTATCCAACGTCTATGTCTATGTTTCTATATTCCTTAGTCTCTTAGCTTTTCTCCTTTTGCTATTGATCATTGCACTTCAGAGGCTGAAAAACATAATTTCTTCCAGTTCCTCCTACCCAGAATATAATAGTGATGCTGGAAGCTCTTTCACTAATTTAGAGGTTTGTAGTATTTCTTCCCAGCGCTCTGCTCTCTCAAACCTTTCTTCGTGAAACTAAATTAAAGGAAACACATGGGGAATGGAAGAGCTTTGTCTAGTTTTTTGGGGAGGTAGTGCATGCAACATTTGCCTTAGAAGACTATTATGAAGAGGTGGCTTTTAAAGTTTCCTTAGGTTTTTTTTCTTTTCTTTCCTTTTCTAGTCTTCATTTCCCCTTTTATTAATGTTCCTTTTCATTTTGGACAATGGATAATGACACTTGATCATCGTTTCATGCCTGTAATAGTGATGCTGTCTTTTTCTCAGACATACAAGGTGTTCATTAAGAGTATTCCTGCCAAACTGTAATATGGTTCTAACTGGATGTGTCGTTTTTCTGCTCTAGTTGTGACCCCTTCACTGGTTTTGTATCAGTAATATGCTAAGTACTTTTTTTTTCCTTTTTTTAATTAGATAAGGACTTCTGGATGAAATCCCTATTGCAAAAGTATAAAAAAATCAGCTTAAATTATAAACATAGTCCTTGGGACAATTTAAAGTTGTTGGTATTGTTTCTTTTTTAATTTTCATGTATTTTTCAGTATTTATTGATGTTTATAAAACACAACTAAAATCCATTTCTTGAAGAATGTTACTTTTGTTTATTTGTACTCCCAACTCATTCTGTATAAAGTCTCTGTATTTCAGTTTTTGAATCTCTTTGGTTAACTTAGTAAAGTGACTACAATAATGATGCTCACTGGTGAATGTGTGAAGGTATTTTTAGACCCCGTTGCACCTAATTTGCCTAATGACTTGTTCCTCCAGGGGGAAGCTTTTGCTGCTGAATCATATATATCACACAACTCCTTTGCATACCTCACTGATCCTGTAGCTTATTCTTGATGGATACCAGTACAAACCAGTGGTTTCTTATAAAAGGTCTGCATACAACAACCATAGCTGGCAACTGAATTGCTCCTGTAACTGTCCTTTAGGCACAAGATGTTTGTACTCACATAAGCAGGGCCAGCAGGGACAGAAATTGATTGTAGTGGTGAGGACTTTCTGGGCCAGATTTTGTCCTGTAATTTCACAAATGCACACTGAGGTGGGTGGGGGACATGAGGATCTGAGTGTTGGCCAGGCAGACCTGCGCTCTGACACTCAGGAGGTGCAAAGTGTACCTGCAGAGGGTAGGAAGAGATGGGAAGGAAAAAGGCAGTGGCTCTGCCCCTTTCCTCCATCAGCGAAAGGAGAGGCTAGAGATGAAGGGGTGAGAAACGGATGATTTTTCACAATCTCACTCCTCTTTGCGATGCCAAAGTCTGGGTTATGATTTCCCCCTGCCCAAAATGTAACCCAGCACTCAACTTCTGCAGTAAAATAATTAGCAGCATTGCAAACAGGATCCTGTGGTCAGCTGGGAATTAGATCAAGCCAAACGATCAAAGAAATTATTCGAAATGCCAAGAGTGACCAGCTAGGATTGCAGCCCCACACTGTGCGGTGCGATTCCTTGCTGTCCTTACTGCACTATGTGAGCACAGCCCGGTCCTGCCACTCAAGTCCATGCAAATTTTGCTCTCATGGCAGGATCCAAGTCACTGGAGAGACCCAGGGAAGGGTATGGAAATGTCACTGCCATTTCTGTTGCTGGCATAACAGCACGCGTATCTCCGGGCAATGGGCCGGTCTCAGCAGGAGCGCAGGGTGACTGCTCTCCCCGCGCACCACACTACTGCCCAGCCGATGGGTTAGGGAGCTGCAGAAGGCCTCCAGACCAGATTCGTTACAAATACCCTCCCACTGCGCTGTCAATGTGTTCATCAACAAGACACATTCTGCCGTTAACTACACAGGCTTTAAAAGAAAAATGTGGAAAGCCTGTTGTAAATATAATCATGAGAAATGCAGCTGTTTCGTGCCAAACAACATACAGATGACGCTGGAGTTGGTGTTTTCAATTTTTAAAAGTGAACCTGCAGAATGGTAAGTGGTAACGACTTACAGTGGTGATTAGCTTCTAACAAAGGTCAAAGAACTTTCTGACTAATACAGAACTTAAGCCTGCACATTCTCTGAGCCAAAATGGTTTTATGAATATATTTAGTCTCTGGAATATTTTATTCATCTAGACAAAAATTTCTTGTAAGTCACTTTTCACTGTAATTGATGATAGGTCTTGTGAAGAGTTAACTATTCAAAAGGGATCAGGAAACATTATTTCCTTTCTGAAAGCTCTTCCAAATCCCAAATGTAACAGAATGTGTGTTGACTGGTAGATAAAAATAAATGAACTGTAAATCAAGATGGAGCAATTCTTCAACTATCTTCTCTTACCTACAAAGCTGTAAATTTGTTGCTTCCTTTGCTGCAAATGCAGGAATTTAATCAAAACCAGAGATGAGACCACAGGTTGAGATGGGTATTTGCTCCCAGTGATATGTTTCACATTACTAGCTTATGCTTGTGGATATAGAGACATTTAATTTTAAATACAGACTGTTGAAAACACATTGACTTTATTCAATGAGCTGTTGTCAAACTTCACAAAAGCAAGAAGTATTTTTCAGACTCCACAAAGTAGCAAAGACAACTGAAACCACACACTTGATTTTGCTTTGTACTTTACTAGATGCTTTTAACTTTTTTTCCATTCTGCAGTGACATATGGGACTATACACAGTCATCATGATTTCAGCTGAGTTGCACCTGTTCTCGTCAGGGCAGATTTGAGTAGAAACAAGTTGGACCCAACAGAATAGCATCGGGAGAAGCCACAGGCAAGAAGCACCATGGCATTTTTGAGGATTACTGAGTACTAGTTCTTCAAGAAAAAAAGAAAAAAGAAAAAAACCCAACTTGAGAACCTGAGCTTGAGTTAACTTGAGCTAGAGTTGCAGGGATTTTCCACCATGGTAAACTGAAAAACACATTAGATTCTCCATTTTAATCAAATTTCTGTGTTTTCTACCTCTCCTTCTCTCTGTCTTCCCTTCTTTCTGTCACTCACAAACCAAATAGACCTGGACAGGCTGCAGAAGTGGGTAGAGAGGAACGGCATGAAGTTCAGCAAGGGAAAATGCAAAGTTTTGCACCTGAGGAGGAATAACCACAGGCACTGGGACAAGCTGGGGGCTGATCAGCTGGAAAACAGCTCTACAGAGAAGGACCTGGGGGTCCTGGTGGACAACAAGTTGAGCATTGGCCATTAACATATGCTTGCTGCAAAGGAGGCCAAGGGCATCCTGAGCTGCATTAGGAGAAGCACTGCTAGCAGATCGAGGGAGGTGATCCTGGTTGACCCGGGCAACCTGCCTGCAGCTGACCCTGCTTTGGGCAATAGGGCTGAACCAGATGATCGTCAGAGGTCCCCCATCTATACTGTGACTCATGTCAGTGCAAAAACTCAGTGGCTTCTAGCTCGCTGCCTCCTCTGATGTGTTTTCACAGCTCTAGAGCTGAGTAAGCAACATCTTTACTAGGGGGTGATTTGTTCAATAACTTGTTACTAAAGAGCTGCTTTGTTCTTCCTCCTGCCTGCAGCCACATGCATTTCCAGCTTTTCCACTGCCTTTTTGCACAGTGGGTTCACATTTCACAGCAAGCTTTTGCCCTGGGCCCCTTTTGTTTTTACTAAGCCGTCTGACTGCAACAGTGCCATTAGCTTTGGTAATACATGACTCCAAGACTGCATGGCTTCAGGTAGTTGCAAAGTATACCTGGAAATCTATAGAAAGAAAAATACCAATAAAGCATGGATAAGGAAAGAAGAGAAGGAGTTTCTGGATCACACAGAAAAACTATTTTGCTTTAGTTCAACAAATATGGTCCATTTATGTGTATTTAATCAAAGAGTACCTGGTGAAGGCTGTAGCAGCCTCTATATCTAAGACTCTCTTGCACTGCTGGCCACCCTGGCCCTACCGTCAGGTTAATGCATCATATTTGTCTGTCCTTAACATTACCAAATTATTCCCATCCTGAAACAGTGCCATGCTGTTCACTTAGCAACTCTTCAACTCTGTGGAGAGTTTATTCCACTGAAAGATTTTTCTGCTTTCAGCCCTTCTCTGGTTGCCAGCTCACCTGAAAGGTTTGTCTCTGTAAGCTTAAAGTCTTGTCTGGTTTTCCTACAAATTCCTTTTAACTTGGGAATGACTCTTACTCTTCTTCCATGCAGCTTGTTCACCCTCCTCTTTCAGTGTCTAACCCTGTGGTACTCTGGCGAGCCTGAATCCCCATGGAGTATTGTGCTCCGCTGTACTTGAGCTTTTTACCTTCAGAGTCTTTTTTTTTAAGATGAGATCACTGGGAAGGACATCTGTGTGGGAAGGTTATTTACGAAGTCCATATACCTCCCATTCTTCTTGACGGGACCGTTTTCGCTGCATCTGTTACGGTTGTCTAAGGAAACATTGTGAATTACAGCCCAGCTGCTTCCCCAGCTGAATGGCCTTTTTACGCCTGCAGCCCCTCGTACACTCCCAAAGACAACGGCCCCACTCTGTGGCTACAGCAGAGGATTACATGCCCCAAATTCAGGGTGCAAAAGTAGCCTGAAGAAGTCCTTTTTTTCCCTCCCCAAACGTGGGCTTGTGCTTGCCTGTGACTTTGGCATAACATAAAACAGCCTTCAAGCTGCTTTACACTAAATGAACTATGTGATGCCAGCCATTCTGACGTGTAAACGGGACCCACCTGCAATCACAGCCCCACACTCACACCGTAGCTCCATAAAACTCCTGGCTCTGTCAGACTGCCTATAAGTGGGGTGGCCCAAACTGACCAAGGTGCTGTCCCAGACTGGGGCTTGGCCAGGGATAGTTTGCTCATGCCAGATGAAGATGTTTTCACAGCTCCTCCCAGCAGTGGAGATAAAAGCATCATCAGCCTCCTATGCATTTGCTTTCAAGGCCAGGTAAGGGCATTAGTGTAATCATGGTAATCGCCAGGTAGGCGACAGCTAAGCAGGACCAGGTGAGATGAGCTATTTTTCACTTCTTTGGGTGTTTTCTTTGTTTTAGATTAGTGGAAGCCAAGCACCCACTGTAAGTCTGAAAATCCTGG